AGCACCTGCCAGCCAGGCTGGACCCGGAACAGCGACCCTGGTCCTAGACCATGCTCCATCACTGAGCACTGTGGGCTCCATGCTGCTGCTCTCTGGGCCTTCCAGCTCCACGGCTGCATGTCAGATGCCAGGGGTATTTGAGTTCTTGGAGGAAAGTGCAGTCAACCCCAGCTTCCCCAGATGGAGCTAAACTGGCAGATTGGCAGATAATGAGCAGGCAGGCAGGAACGGAAGAAGAGGAAGTGAACCAGAGAAATTGATGGGCACAAAGGGGTGGTGGAAGAATAGGGAACAATGAGGGTGTGAATGTGGTTGCCAGCAGGGATGCCCACACACAGTAGGTCCACATGTGTGCCTGGTGTACACATCCATGGCTGGTCAAATAGACTTTAAGGCCTGTGCATCCATGTGACATGCTGTGTGTCTATTTGGGTGTCTTCTTTCATTCATTTAAGAAATATGTGTGAGGATCTACTATGTGCCAGGCATTGGGGACACCAGCAATGAAAAGGCAGTCAAGCCTCCCTGCTCTCAGTAAGCAAATAAGCCAGTAAACAAACAGATCTCTGATCTGGGAAGGCGTCTCTGAGGAGATGGCATTGAGGCAGAGACCTGATGGATGTGAAAGCCTGGGCCCTGGGGGAAGAGCATTCCAGGCAGAGGGGACTGTACATGCAAAATCCCCGAGGAGAAGTGGAGCGGCAACCGGGTCTTGCAGCCATGTAGACCATAGTCAGGGCTTTGCCTTTTATGCTGAGCAAGCTGGGAAGTCTGCAGATGGGCTTGTTCAGAAGAGTGACATGATCCGTTTTAATAGGATCCCCTGGCTGTTCTGTGATGCTTAGGTGGTGGGAAGGGAGGGGGGAGGCCGGAGGGGGCGAGGGCGGAGGCAGGGTGCCCATTGAGGAGAATATTGCAATTACCTAGACAGGAAATGATGGTGGCATGGAACAAGGTGGTACCAGTGAGGGTATTGAAAAGAGGTCGACTTATGGATAGATTTTGAAAGTAGAGCTGAAAGCATTTGCTAATGGATCGGATGTGGAGTGTGAGAGAAAGAAAATTCAAGGATGACTACTGAGATTTTGACCTGGGCAATTAAATAGATGGCATTTCCACTTACAGAGATGGAAGGGGCAGATTTGGAGGGTGGAGGGAAGTCGGGAGCTTGGTTTCAGACATGCAAAGTTGGAAGTATTTATTAGCTAACCAAGTGGAGATCTTGGAAAAGGCAGTTCAATATACAGGCTCAGTGAGAGGTCTGGGCTGCAGAGATAAATTTGGAAGTTGTCAGTAGCAAAGACCCCCCCTGGACTCTGAGAGCCCAATGAGTACTTAGAAATCAGTTTTGCAAATGGGGGAAACTGAGGCTCAGAGGGGCAGTAATGTGTCCAAGGTCATACAGCAAGGCACAGCTGGCTCAAGCCCCTGACTTCCCGGGTCCAGCAGCTCCTACTACTGCATCCAAACTCTGGCCCTAGAAGATATGGCCCTGTCTCTCTTCACCCAGAACTGACCTGCTCGCTCCCACATGGAAAAGACCATGAAGCAGGCTGGAGAAGGAAGCAGGAGCCATATCCCAGGACCTGAGGGAAGCCCGGAGCCTGGGGAGGCTTAAGCAAGGAAGCAGCATGAGCAGACTTGCATTAAATAGATGGCATTTCCACTTACCGAGATGGAAGGACAGCTCCCCAGCTGCTGTATGGAGAATGGATGGGGATGGGGGGGTGGGGGCTCCAGAGGGAGGCCCAGCCCCGTATCCACCGGGATGGCTTGTCTATCATTACGTCACTCTCTCTTCAACTCAAAGAGGTGGCAGGACTGGTGGTAGCATCCCCATCAAACAAATCGGAACGCCGAGGCTCAGAGAGGAGGAAATGTGCTCGCGGTCACATAGCAAGGCAGTGACCGAGCAAGTCGCTGAGCTTGGCTCCCAGACCGTCGGGAGTGGCCAGGGTCCTTGTGTCACACGTGGGGAAACTGAGACCAAGAGAAGGGCAAGGACTCGTTCAAGGTCGCCCAGCCAGTAGGAGGCAGAGCCAGCCCCCAGCTTCACAAGCACCACCCTAAGGAGCCCCAGCCCTGCCTTGCCTCCCTCTCCCAGCCCCCTCACTCTGACATTCCACTCAGGAAAAGTCAGGCAGGGGACTCAGCAAGCCAGGAAGCCCAGGAGGGGGAGGGAAGAAGCAGAAATTAAATGCGTTTATTTCATTTGAGCAACTTTTTGAAGGAGAAGCGAATTCGACACCGGGTGCGTGCGGGAACTCCAGGCAGCTTTGAAAATCAGTCACAATTACTGAGCCTCGTGTTCTGGGCCAACGGGGGCGGGGCGGACAAGCGGCACTGGGTCTGGGCAGCTTCGGAGATCAGAAGGAGCAGGGACGCAGTTTGGGACATGAAAGGCAGCAGAGCTCGCAAATTAAACGGCTCCCAGCTTAAAAGGGAAGGAAAGTGAGCCGGGGGCCTCCCACAGCCGCCCCGCTCCCGCTTCTGAGGAGAGGCACACCAGCCAAGCTGAGCCGCTGAAACAGGTCCTGCAGCTGAGTCAGGAGGCCTGGCTTCCCTCATGACCTTGGCCAAGTCCCTGCCCCTCTCTGGGCCCCAAGTTTTCTTCTGAGCATTCAGGGATTTCATTCATGCAACAGATATTTATTGAGTGCCTGCTATGTGCCAGGCACTGTTCCAGGCACTGTTCCAGGCACTGGAGTCTCTTAGGAAACCTATGTATAGAGCAGGGAGAGAGACAGGAAATAAATAAACCAGCCAATATATTATATACCCAGTGGTGTAAGTGCTGTGAAGAATAGGGGATTGGGAATTACACAGAGTGGGACAAAAGTAGATTTAATTAATACATAAGAAAACAAGAATAAATTCTGTGTTTCAAGTACTCACAACTGTAACCCTACTTGTGCCACACTCTGTATTGGGAGAGTGCTATTTTAGAGAGAGGAGTTAGGGAAGGCCTTTATATCTATATCGATATATAGATATAGATATTTCAAAGAAGAAGGGAGAGGGAGAGATAGAAACATCAGTGATGAGAGAATCATCGATCGGCTGCCTCCTGCATGTCCCACACTGGGGATTGAGCCTGCAACCAGCGTTTGTGCCTTGGACAGGCATTGAACCCAGGACCCTTCAGTCCGCAGGCCGACACTCTATCCACTGATCCAAACCGACTAAGGCAGCCCTTCTTTTTATAAGATGACATTTGAACAAAGATCTGAAGGAACCAAGGGAGTGAGCCAAGGAGCCATGTGAAACAGTAGTTTTCATACTATATTGTGCATCTATATTGCCTGAAGGACAAAACACAGATGGCTGCCTTCCCCCAGGCTTTCTGATTCAGTAGGACTGAGCTGCTAGGAATGTTCCCATTTTTTAAAACAAATTCCAAGGTGATGCTGATGCTGCTGGTTTAGGGACCACACTTGGAGAAACACTGCACTGGAGGAAGAATGTTCCAGACAGTGAACAGCAAGTGCAAAGGTCCTGAGGCATAGTGTGTTTGTCATGTTTGAGGAATAGCCAGAAAGTCAGTGTGGGTGAAGAGAGGAATAAGTGAGGTCAGAAAAGGTACCAGGCCAGGGTCTCTTAGGACTTCGCAGCCATTGAAAGGTTTTCAGTTGCACTCTGCGAGAGCTAGGGAGTAGAGCAGTGACATGACCCGGCTTATATATTTAAACGATGAGTGTTGCCCACCATGTTGAAAATAGACTGTAGGGAGCAAGGTTGGAAGTAGGAAGATTAGGGAGGGGGTAATTGCAGTCCTGTGGGCAAGAGGTGATGGTGACTTGGACCAGTGTAGGTGGTGAGAAGATACGGGTTTATGGATGGATGTTGAAGGTAGAGCCAACAGGATTTATGAGGGATTGGATGTAGGGAGTGAGAGATGAGACAAGGATGATGCTGACGTTTTT